TTAAGGTTAGTAACTCTTTGTAGTTACTATGATAAAAACTATTAATAAAGATATAAGCAAGGCCTCACCTTAATACCAAAAAAAAAGAATTTATTTGAATAAAGGTTATTCACTTTTATTTGAATTTATTCTAATAAAATTGAATGTTTAAGATTTGATACATTTAGTTTTATATTTTGATAGTGTAAGTTTTTTTTATTTTTTTTTTTGAAACTCTTGTATCTATATAAAACTAATTTTAGTTTATTAAATAACAGTGCACATATTACTATAACCATATAGGTGAAATTATTGATAAAAATACTGTGATCATTAAAATTAAATGATATAATAGGATTATATGACCATTCTGTATTATATGATAGTTTAATAAGCAATTTATAGCCCAAAAAACAAACAAACAATTATACAATTTATTTATTTTTAATAATCACCAGAATTGATAAAATCTGTTTATACAATTCTATTAATCAGTATTTTATGCTTTATTAAAAATTTTTTAGAAAAAAAAAGAAATGAATTAATCTAAATTTTTTTTGTTTTTGCATTATAATGGCATAAAGAATATTACCAAAAAGATTCTGAATATCTTCAAGCAGCACTTATCAGCTTTCATTACCTTTTGTATATTGCAGAGTCAATCTTTGAAACTGGCACACTGTGGAAAACGTAGCAATTCCTAATGGAAAAACTATGTGAAATACTGATATCTCTAGTTTATTCTTGGCAAAATCCATATAAAAAATTTAATAAAACAAGTAATGTTATGGACTCAATTTGCGTACTTGCAATATTATACTGAATATAAAAAATTTTTTGATGATCTTCTAGAAGATTATTAGACAGAGCTATTAAAGTATATTTATAATGAAGAAAAATTGTATTCATTGTTCAAAGAGCATATAATTACAAAGACTAAGATTCAAAAGATTAGCAATACTATATAACAGTATTTAATTTGGTTATTGGCTACATTAAGGTAAGTACGTATATATATATATATATGCAGTACTAGAGTGTACAATATATTATATAAACCAAAACTATATGTGGTATTTAAATATTTTAATTAATCTGATTTTTTAGTATATACATATCATTTTTATAATATTATACAAAAAATCTTTATTATTAAACTATATATAGTTTTGATTTATATAGTATTGCATATCTTGCATACTCCAGTGCAGTATGTAAATATTCAAAATTTGCAATATATGTATCTTAAAAATATATATATAAATAATAAATACAGGCAAATAGCAAAATTCAAAAATATAACAAACTACGAACTAAATCTGGAGTGATAATTGGCTCAAAGCTTGCATATCATAAAGAAGATATCTCGCGAAATAATTATTCAATTGCAGTAAGTTAATCTTGACTGTATTATTCAAGTGAATCAAATTTATTGAAAACAATAAGAATTTATAGTTATAATCTAATATAATTAATATAGGCAAAGCTTTTGGTTGACAAAAATGTATATAGCCAAAAAGCATCTGTTTTGTTTAAGGAGTGAGAATTTTACAGCCAGGTTTTGTTTTATTTTACACATGAATATAAAAGCAAAATATCTATGCTTGCGTTTGTATAGTAGATAAGAAATCCAGAAGTTTATAGAAATAATATACAGTACAACTTGTCAAAACAGATCCTGTCAAAATTGATAACCTTCAATAACTGATAAGAAGTTGATCCACAATATTGGTTCCATAATTCAAATTCGATAACTTGTCATTTCTGATAACCGATACTCAAAATATCAGATATCTATAAGATATCAGATTTGTAAGGTAAAATTAATCAATTTAATTGGCTCAAATACAATTTTGTATAACCGAATATGTATGTATAAATGTAATTTGACCAATTAAATTTAGATAAGATCATATGACTATTAGGCTATTAGTAATTTAAATCTGATAACCTCTCAAAGCTAATACAAAACCTTTCCACTATACATACTGGTTTTGACAGGGTGAACTGTACTATATTTTTACAACTTTGGTAAGACTAGTATCATTAATACAGCTACTATTAACCGCTGTGTTAGATTTCTCAAACTTGCAGAAAATAAGTATCTTATTATAGATAGAGAAAATTGGGTTACATTCTGATAAAATTTATAGAAATTTTTATTTATAAATATAAAGTTTTAAAGTGGTATTTAATAATTGCTAGCTAATTTAATATTTATAATAATTTATGCTTAGCACTAAACCCGTATACAACTTTATTATTATATAAACATGAATAATACTTAGATCGCGCAAATTAGTTGATTTACCAGTTTTTTTGTTACTACAATTTTCCTGTCTCATTAAATAAAGCTATAATTGATATATGTCAATATTAAATTTGATTCAACAATATAATCTTACGGTAAATCTAAATATTTCTGGATTATATCTATATTCAATATAAAATCTTAATTCAACAATATAAATTTTAAACAAAAACTTTCTGAATTACATCTACATTTGATGTCAAATCTTAATTTGACAATATAAATCTTAAATATGAATATTTCTGGATTATATTTATATCTGAAAACTTTTAAAAACTTTTCTGAAATAATATCTAAAATAGAAATTTAGATTTATTCTATAAAATTTCTACTCGGAACATAACCAGAACAGTTTCTATCTATCTGGATTAAAACCTAAATATATCTGTTAATAATTTTTTATAGAGTCACCTTAGTGACTTGTGAGAATTGTGGTAAAGAATGAGACTTACAATTGGTTATTCAACCCTATTAATTCTTTATGTAGACTTAAAGTTATTACTTATATCACTTGATCATCATCTGCTTTTACCTCACCATCTTTATTGAGAAATCTCTAATAGTATCACCTGTAGTTGTACCACCCCTAGTAATATTAAAACCTTCATTTCAAAGTGTAATATTGTCTAATAAACTTCTGACAGTTATAAATAACTTCCTTCATTTCTTCAAGTTTATCATTATCTTTTCGTATACTGTTAAGCATTAAATGACCAATAATATCGTGACCACATACAGTAATATGGGTACATCTATATACCCTGACTGATTTGAAAATTACGCTTTTTATCTAATCAGTATCTATTATGTCGAATTTATATAAATGATCAGTGTGTAATATTAAAATTAAAAAATTGTTCATTTTTTTAAAAAATCACTCTTATTTTGAAATTTTACTTATAAAACTAACTTCTGCATTCTAGCAAAATAATTTTTTACAAAATTTTAATATGGTTTTTTCTTTTAAAGCTCTACATTTACCCTAACACTAACCCTAATACTAATTGACAGTATTATATATTAAAATCATATAAACAATGATGAACATTTCTATTTTGGGTGGGTTACATAGATGTATCCCAGTAATGCTATACATTACCTAGATTTAAACCTAATTATTATAATATTTAATATACAAATAAATATATAATAATAAAAAATCTGATAATAATATAAAGCAGGTAGCATTATTAAAGACAGAATAAATTTTGAATGTTTATTGATTTTTTTGCCAGATATTGTTAGGAAGTATGAGTTTTTTTTTTTTTTTTTTTTTGGTTTTAAGGTGACCTCTTGGTCGATTCTCTTTATTCAGTTATTAGTCAAGTTTTA